CTGCCAGTTGGGGCTGGGGCAACATCAGGCTGTTCCTGGCGGGGATGTTGAGCCAAGCTGCTACTGGGGCGGGCAGTGGCAGGGTTGGGGGAGGCTATGGCAAATTCTGGAGTGGCTGCAGCCCCTTCTGTATCTGCCCTCTCAGCACTGCTGCCCACCCCAAGCGAAGCCTTGCCCAGCCCCAGCTTCGAAGAGCTCAGCATAGCCCCAGCTCCAGCCTGCAGCAGCACCCCACCACACGTGCAGATCCAGGGGCAGCCCCCCATGCCCTCCCAGGGTGCATGCAGCAGCTGGAGCTGCTCCCCGCCCCCCCCGCCCCCCACCAAACTGCTCATCCCTCCATCTCATGTTCCACCCAAGCTGTGCAGCACCTGCCCCTACCCCAGCCCCACTTCCTCCCTCATCGTGGGGGGTCTCAATCTGCACCCCCCCTTTAAACAAGGAAAAAATATAAAGGGGTACATGAGCTGAAACTTTGAGACAGAAGGGGCACACTTGTTAAAAATCCCTGTACTAGAGGAGCAGATATAACAATACACAGCTTCACATTAGTTTAAGTCAGTTGACTCTGGGGAAATTCACTCCTCAGAAAATGAGTAATAACTGCAAATCAGTATAAATTACACTAGCATACTCTGTGTGTGTCTGCTTCCCAATCAACTTTATCTCAAGGTAGAAGTTTGGCCAATGCAAACTGTCCCCTACCCAACACCCAGGTATCATCATAGGGGCTATTACAGACAATAACCTTGGCAGAGCTAGTCATCTCACTGCTCCTTGCTACAGAGGAAATTTACTATGAATTAAAATCTAAGGTAAATAACACCACTGGAATCTAGTTATATGCCCCACCTCCCACCCAACAAGTCAAGATGGGCAACAAGTTTAAAAAGAGAAGGTTTATCAGAATGACCTTTGAAACTTGCAAGAGCAGACCTAAAGCTACCTGGAAGGGTTTTACTTTTTCTGTGGATCCTATCAGAAATTAGCACAGAGGACAAAGAGAAAGGTACAAGGAATTATTTATTATCCACACACCCTAAAAACCCACTTGTGAAGCTATGAATATCACTCAGAAAAGAAAAGGAACACAGGAGTCCAAGACATAATGTAACAAAAGACTGTTATCCTATTTTGATGTATATTCTAGCATAACTGAAATCTTGCAATGTCTGCTAGCATAAGTGGTTTCAGCTTGGGGATGGTTAACCTTTAAATCATTCAATTTTAAATACTTCTCCCAAATGCAGAACACTGCCAGTACACAACAACACAAGGGGACCAAAGACACAGTAAAAGAGAAATGATTAATGCTATTCTAGAAATGTACAATTGATATCAGTAGCCAAAGACACTTCTCACATCAGCTCATTTCCTTGCTTGGTCCATCAAAGCTAATGTTAATTAACCTAACAGTCATTCCTTTCCAGTACTTCTGGAGAGGTTCCTTGAATAGTTGCAAGGAAAACGGGATTAGGTGGGGGAGGTTATGGGCATTATGACTAATTGTATTAACTCTTGAAGAGTATCTGGATAAAGGATTTCCTTACCTTTTGCAGAAAACATCTAAAGCTATTTTAATGAAGCCTCTTTAAAACTGAAATACATGAGTCCATTTCAGAGATATGGCCTATATGCCAGATCAGCTCACAAGATACCTTCATCCACCTTGCAACTCACTGCAATCTTTGCCAGAATCAGGTCTGCAGCTCTCCAATCATCAAAAAAGCCAAAAGGAAGACGGAGGCTGAGGAGACAAGGGAGCTAATGTTCAACTGAATAGCCAAATTAATACATTTTTCTTGTCCCTCTGGAGTAGCAGTTATTTATGAGCTTCTGTCACTGTATCACTGAGCCCTGTAGTCTAAAGTAGTAGCTGCTTTCCAACATCTACTACACAACTCATGAAGACAGACTCCATTCTCCCTTGGATCCCACAGTGCCACAGCTCAGTGGTGTTGGGAACAGGACTGTAGAGATGAATTGCCCATCAACTTAACTTGTTTTTCTTGGTGTGTGTGTTTTTGTTTTGTTTGTTTGTTTGTTTTTTTACCAGCATCAAACCCCAAAGCACCAGGCTCAGAGGACTAGTTATTTCTCCACTCCCATCTCTACCCATCGGCAGCTCAGACCATGCTGTCACTTCTGTTGCTGAGTTTAGCACCACCCAGGTCAGGAGGAACCAGCTCTTTCATCCCTCTCTTCTGGTTTCAACCCCTCTGAAGGAGCATTGCCACTGCAAGATAACAAAATGCTTACAGACAGACTTCCCCCCTCTACCTATAAGTCAAATTAGTTATTAAGTATGCGGGAGCTATTCAGCTTTACCCAATAACACCTAGAGACAGGTTTCAGTCATTGAATGAGGAGTTAAAAGTCCACCTTGTTTTGTATCTAGGACTGAGGAAGACTGCTTCCTACCAGAATATACCAGCAGAAAATAGGCCTTGCAGAGGATAAGGACTATTAAGCAAGCTTTTGGGTTCAAAGACCCTTTGTCAGGCTAAGGAAGTTTCAGCAGTTGGTGTGTGCTCTTCCTGGATGGACTGAAAAGTAAAGAAGCCAGAGGCGGGGCTGGCTTCTTTACTTTTCAGTCCATCCAGGAAGAGCACACACCAACTGCTGAAACTTCCTTAGCCTGACAAAGGGTCTTTGAACCCAAAAGCTTGCTTAATAATTGTTTTCCAACTATTTTTAAGTTGGTCTAATAAAAGATATCAGATTCACCCAAAGAACCTTGTCTGCCTATGTGCTTAGACCAACATGGCTACAACCTACACCCTTGCAGAGGATAACTACTTTGTCTGGGGGCCCCCCATAACTAACTTACACTGGCCCAAGCCCAGACACAGCCTGAGAGCTAAAGAGTATGTCAAGGATTGAGCCTAGAAGGGCTAGAAGAGTTCAGATTTTTTTCATGTTTATTTGGACTCTAAATATCCTGTAAGTGATAGAACTTTTACATAAAATAGTCTTAGGGTAAGATCACTTGAACTTGGAAGGTGTTGCCTGGAAAAGGCATGAATGCCTGAATCATTTTACCTTGGGGAAAAGGCTCTGGTTGGTATGCATAAAGTTTGATGTAAGCTACTTATGGAACTAATCAGAAGAAGAAATATACAAGGGTAACAATGAGAGAGGTTACAGCAAAAACTGTATCTGGAGTAAGTGCATAGTGATCTAAGAGGTATCCCATGGAACACGGTCCTAATGCCAAGCTCTGTGCACTCGGGGACTTTTCTTTCATTGTGTGGGGGATCAAGCAGCTTCATTCACACACCACCATTTCAATTTGGGAAATGACTGTATTGCAAAACTGGGGTGATCACTAGAAACTGCAAAATTTTAGTATGACATGACAGACTTGCACTAGAAAATTCTAGCCTAATCATTGGCATGTACATATAGATTTACAGCAGAATTAATTTCTCAATTTTAAAATGCTCTGAACAGCATTAGAATGGTGGTGTATTTATAGCTGGAAGTGTGCCTTTGTGAATTTTTTTTTTTAAAATAATCTTTATTGAAAAATAATACAAATAAAAATTTAAGTAAACAGAACTATTTAAGATTGCTAATATTCAACACCATGAAACAAGGGAAGCTTTAGAACAAACAATGCTGTGGTATATATTCTATGGAGAGTGAAAGGGTTAACAGCACATCTGTGAGCTGTCATGCTAACAGCTGAGCATGCATCCATTTTTCTTCTTGGCTGTTCTCCCTTGATGTGTTAAATGCCTTGGAAGAAAGCCCTCATTTGGGTTTAAATAGCCAATAATGGGTTGCCACAATTTGCTCTTCTTGCTCTGCTGGGGTATGTGGGTGGTGGGAAGTTTGCCATTAGAAGGCTCTGCAGAGAGACCTGTTACTCCCAGTAAGCAATGTTCTCCAACTCTGAAATACATCTGGAACCTCTCTCAAGGCTGTTGTGCTCTTTGGAAATGTTCCAGCGGCATGCCCTCCAGAAAAACAATGCGTCACCTCCAAGACTTGCTTCTGCACATATGCAATCTTTTCCATACTATTTTAAAGTCAAATCAGTGATCATCCAGGTCACTGCAAGGTTCTGTTGGGTCAACTCTGTTTAGCTGCGTCTTTCTCCTTTCCTTCTCAAGTCTGGTCTTTGATCCTTCAGAGGGGCTGGCTGCTCTCTGAACTGTCTTGCTCATCCAGTGTTTTTTTGGTTTTTTTTTTCCCCCACTCCTGAGAACATGGGTGTTAAGCCCTGGATAATGGTTTCACCCAAGAGTCACAGTCCTTCAGGTGCAGGAACTGTAGGAGTAGAGAAAAATTAACAAGCAGTTATTTTTTTGTTCAGCCAGTATAGCAGCCACAACATACTTCTTTAAATCAAATTTGAAATGCCATCCTTACTTCCTTCCCGGTCTTGGGATACTGTGAAGATTATAAGCCTTGTTTCAATGCATTTCACCCATGCCTAGAAACCTTGTTACAATTAATGTTATTCTTCTGTGGACTGAGGAACAGCAAGGTCTAGTGATTTGCTGTTACTCCATGCCATACAGTGGTAACTTGGGGAAATGGAAGCAGAAATTCAGGACAGTGGCTGGGTGCAAGAAGGGTGGTTAGTAATTACAACTACATCTCCCTGCAGGTGGTCCTTTATTTGGAGGATGCTATGCTGACCTAGGTACCATATTTTACGTTGACACAGTGTACAAGTTGACCCCATATCTGTGTACAAAAAAGTTAGGATTTTTGTAGATCTATTATAAATCAACCCTGCCTCAGTGGGTGAGGCGCTGGAAGCCCAGGCAGGCTTATGGGAGAGGTGGCATGCTGGTGGGCTCCCAGAACATCAGATCAGGCTCCTGGAAGCTCAGGCAGCCCATGGCCTGCTGGCAGCCCACCTGGCTGGTCCTAGGGTGTGCTGCCACTGCAGAGGAAAGGACCAGGACCCCCCTCCCTCCCTCACAGTTCGGGGACTGCCCAGGCAGCCAGCAGCTCAGCCCCCGGCCACAGGGCAGGCAGGGAGGATTTACCAAAAGCAGGATCAGGCCCTCGCTACTTCTGCCTTCATCAGGCCCTGCCTGACACCTCTAGCCTCCCCCACCCCGGCCCTGCCCAACACCCCGTGTTTCCCAGGTGGCACCAGATGCAGGAGCCTGCTTTCAAGCAGACGTGGCAAGGGGCCCAATCCTTCCTGTTGTGGAGCCTCCCCACCTGGCCTGGGGCTGGGGGGTGAGCTGCTGGCAAGCTGAGCAGCCCCTGAGCTGAAAGGGGGCCTGGTCTTCCCTTTGTGGCAGTGGTACCCCTCAGGGCTGGCCAGGCAGGATACCAGTGGGCTGGATGCTGCCCCAGCTCGCATAGAGTAACCAGGGGTCCAGGCAGCACCATTTCCAAGGGACGCCGCATGGTTGAATCTCAAGAGTTAAAAATTTGGCTTCAAAACTCAACTTACACACTGTGAAATACAGTAACTGGGAAGAAAAGAAGGGATTTTTTTTTTTTTTTTTTTTTTTTAAACAAAAAAAAAGCAAAGGGCAAACTCACATGTTATGCAGTGATATTCATCACTTGAATGTCTCCCAAAGTGCCACAGAACTACAAGACCTTCCAACATACGTAAGAATGAATAAAGTTGCTGGGCCATGCAACGTGTCAAAAATAGAATATCTTTGCTTTAAATTGTAATTGATTTCCCCAGAAGAAAGCACACAACAAAACATAGTTCCAAAATAATTGCTCAGAAACTTTGTAGTTAATGAATTGCTAAAATGTTGTGAAATCTCTCACCATGCTAAAATATATATAACTATCTATAAAATATCTATAACTAATCTTTAATTCATAAAAGGCAATTATCAAAGCTGAACTAGTTTTGCTACTTTTTTTTTTTAATGATTGTTACATTTCAAGAAACATTTATTTTATAAGCTTTTATTATTTGTGTTTCTATAATGGAAGGAAGCGGGCACTTACAGAATAGGGGATTTCACATTAGTCACCTGGGACAAGGAAAGAGACTAGAAGAAGAATTTAAAGATAAATGCTGCCTTGGCCAGAGCCAGCAAAATCTCTATTCTTGGGACAGCAATATACTTTACAGACAAATACTACCACCCCCTACCCTCCCCAGCATGTGGAACCAAATGTTCTCCATGTGGGGCTGGAGGACTACAGAGCTAAAAGCTTGAAGACTCCTAAGTTTATTTCTGACCAGATGGTTGCATAGGTTCTAGAGCAGACCCCAACTGCATTTCATAATTTGTATTACTACTAAAAGTTCAATATAGCATAAAAGATACTTACTAGTTGATGTTTCATCTCCAGGGCTGTACGGCTGTTCAGTGGGTGGCTTTAGGGTCTGTCTCATATCCTTTTATAAGGAAGAGATCCTGGACAACTGGAAGACCACCTCCTGGTTCCTAGGGTTTCTAGGTGGCCAGAAGGTCCACAGTCTTTAATTGCTTCTAGCATGTTCACCATAAATCAGGTTCAAGTGTCCAGGATAAAGTAGCGTCCAGTTCCACTCTTCACCGTAAGGAGTGACAGAACACGTTTGATGATCTTTTTGTACTTGGCTTTCTTATATACCTGAGGTCCTTGCTTTTGTTGGAGTATGAGTCACCCTTGTTGGCCATTTGTCTAGTGATGGCTTTACTTGCCCATTTATTGCAGGGATTCCCCTCTCCCCAGAGACCTCGTTCAGAGATCCTGGGTGTAGTATTGCATGGCTTTAAAGGTTCTATATTGCTAAGGTCTGCTACTGCAGATGGACCAACTGCAAATGGACCAAATCCTGACTGTGCAATACACAAACAGAAAGTGACATCCAGCAAATGGAATCCTAAAGTAATGAGGGGAGGGGGGCACAAGTAAACAGACAGGGTGATTCTGGTGACAGGGTCATGCAGAGCAGCTTGGAATAGAAGCTGGAGGACTGCCACTATTAGTATAAAGATCAGTCCATACTAACTCAATTTGCAATTAACTTAATCCACCTTCAAAGTGAATTAGAGAATTTATAGAGAATTGGCCAATTTAATTTGCAATGCAAATTGTATAATGTGGATAGAGGTAATTTTAATTTGGAAAAATGAAAAAAAAAAAAGTGAAAGAAAATTCTCCTTTGAATAAAATTAAACATTCTGTGTTTGTTTTCTGACTTCAGAATATCCTGACAGAATATTAAGGTCCATGGATTTCTTCCGAACTATGCAAATCAGCTCTTAGAGAATGTTTTATATTCTTTATTTCCTGAATACTTGAACTCTACTTCATTTACAGCCAAACTTGAAAAGCAATATTACTTTACTTCTATGTATATTTCCAAGCTCTCAGCATTTCACAAATCATCTAGTAAAAAAAAAAAATAGTAACCCAACACATTAACATATAGCTAATTCTCCATCCCACATAATTTAAATGTTCAAAACTGGTACTTCTTTCTGTGGATGCTTCAAGTTCAAAATTATATTAAGAGATAACCCAACACAGAACACATTATATAATCCAATCTTTTGGTGACAAAGGAATGGTAGCACCACCTATTACTAAGCTTGTCCAACACTTCCTACAAGTCCTCATTTTTAACTGCTTACAAGAACTTTGCCCAAAAACTGTTTGGGCATAACTTTTCCATGTTGGATATCTACCTTGAGCTACACAGAAAAAAATCAGTTAAAAGTAGTCTGTCGTTTCCAAGAAGGAGATCAGAATAAAAAAAAATGTATTATGTCCATATTAAATTCTGGCAATCCTTTCTTTTAAAGGCCCCATTTTTTTCTTTAAAGATTTAGCACTACCACACTTCGGAGACACTGAACTTGGTAGGGGTTGGTCTTCCTAGAAGAGATGTGCCTTTTGCGATCTTGTTGAAAAATAAAAACAAAACAAAGCAAAAATAACCCCCCCCCCATAAACAAAGTTATAAATCTCTGGAAAAACATAAATCAGATTTGTGCTTAAAGACTTGAAGTTTTGCTGTTAAATTCCCTGCGTGTGTTTTCATTCTAGACTTGTAAGACTTCCCTACAACTGAACTTTTGGGTAGTCACGGACTGTTTGGTCAGGTACCTACCTGATCAGAAAACGGGGAAACTTCTAAGAAGCATGGAAGAGGCTGCAGATGAGACAACAGCCAAACCAGTGCAAGTGGTAGGGGAAGTTTGGGTTAAGGAGAAGACAGAGAATGGGACTGTTAGTTGGAGGCAGACTGGTTAAGTAACTTCATGAGAAAATTGGGGCTGAGAAACAACAGGTAAATTAAAAGATGGAGGTGGAAGTTAAAGTAGATTTATCTTGGACTGAGATTCAGGAGAATTGGATCTCACTTGTCAAAGAAAGACCCTGATAAGGAGCCAAGTGAGCAAAAGGGGGAAGCATACTAGATGACGAGCCCAGGAAATAAGAACTGAAGGCTGGATCAGGGTTGGTGGGGGATACGGGAAAGGGAAAAGAAAAAAAGAGAAAGCAAAAATAAATTGGATGAGTAGCTGAGAATTAGGATTGGCTGGCTGAGGAAACAACAAGGAATAAAAGGAAAGTAGGATTTAGTGGATGATGTTACCAGGACTGGAATGAGAAGTCTGAGGAATTGAGATGGATGGGCTAGATGACAGTAATAGAACAGTGACAGATTGAAGCGGATTGGTAGAAGACTGTACCTAGTAGCGCATACTAACCTTCAGACCTGGGAATGGAACCCAAGATTCCTGGAGCTCATCATTCCTCTGTTGTCAGCAAATACCTGTGAAAAGGCAAAAAATGCCTATCTTCCTCCAGTGTTGGTCTGATCTATACTAATGGAACTGGTAAACTTTTTCCACTATGAATTCCTCCTTCAGTTCTGCTATCCTTCCTAACTAAACTACTTCTCCAATTTAACTGAATGATCATTGCTCAATCCCAACTACATTTTCACCACCTTAAACTCACCCACAACCCTTTTCTCCTCTTGATGCCACCTCATTCTTTCAGAATCTCACTACTTTCTGCCGAGAGAAATTTGGATTGGGGCATGGTGGTGGTGGTGGGGGAGGAATATACATTTCTACCTCCCCTCTCATATCTCTCCTTCCCACCTCTAGTCACAGGCACCAAAAAGCTTGTCTGTTCTCCTCTTCAACCGTTTTAGTTTTCCCAGTGACCACAGATCTCTCTCTCTCTTTTTCCAACTAGTAAATTTCTTACTTTCTCTTGGCTCTTTCCTTAGTGCAAACCTGCTTCACCCTACCCACCTGAAAATCACACTTGACCATATTTGGCTTTTGACTTGTAAACATCTTCCATCATTCTTGTATTTCCAAGATAACTATATATTCCATCCACAACAGTTGTCTGAAATGCCTTTCTTCCATTTTGATTCTAGAGCCTCAATCCAGCTTCCATACCTGGCCTTCTACTAAAAGTGTAGTTTAATTACCTTTTCCTAACAGAAACAAAAAACAGTACTTAGTCCTCACATTCTGTCAGCCACCATTCAATACAGTTAACTATGCTGCTGCTTAAAATCTTGTCCTTCCTAGGCTTCCATGACACTGCCATCTACTAGTGGTTGCTTGACTTCTCTATTTGTTCCATCAGAACATCTTCCATATCTCCCCTCCAAGTTTCTCTGAGGATTCGAGTGCTTTTCTTCCTTTCATTTCTCCACTCCCCCCCCACCTTATATCCAAGTAATTTCATCTGCAAATACATGTTCAATTATTATCTCTATCCTGACAAACCATAGCTCTACTTCCTCCTGTTTAAAATAAAATCTTAGTCCACCTCTCTCTGACTTCTCATAGATGTCTACTCGTCACCTCCAACAAAACACAGCTGTGACCAAGCACTTAATCTGTCATCCCCCTCACACACCCACCTCCCTACCACTCAACACCGTCAACTGAGCATCACCTTTAACTCTGACCTCCAATGTCTCCACATCTAAACTGTCTGAAGCTGCAGTCTTTCATCTTAATATGTTTAACATACAATGGTACTTATCAATTCACACACAACTTCATCTTTCATCTTGCAACCCAATTACCACAACTTCTTTTCCTGTAACCCAGACAAATGCAATCTTCATCATACATATTCACTATGTATTGCTAGAGAGAACATTCACCTAACATCTATGACCAGTTCACTCTTTGGAATTCTTCCATTAGCTCTTCATTTTCTATTGCATCAGTCATAAGCTGCTTGACTTAACTTCAAGGCCCTTCATAGCCAGTTTCCATTCTACCTATCCACCTGTATTATACAGTAATCAACTCCTGCCTCCGTCTACCACTTAGTAAATTTTCAAATATGCACTTCTGCACGTGTCATGCTCCCCTTCAGAATCTACAGAGCTGCTTCATTGTCCTCATTTTACCTGACAAAAGACTGGTGTGCTAACACCATTGCGTGTCATGCTGATCAATGCTCTCAATGTTTCCATGTGCTTTTCTCAGTCGCCTACCTCCATTGAGGGTCTCTTATATCATACTTAAATTATAAGCTCTCTCATGTAGAGACTTTTTATTCTCTGTTTGTATACTTAGCACAGTGGGTTCCTGGTTCATGATCAGAACTTTTAAGTGCTATAGTAACACAAATGATTTAATAGTAATAATTTATTGTTATCAGTTACTCCTGATAACCCTGCTGACAACTCAGAGTAACAATGATGCCACATGACAGAATGTGTTTTCAGTGCTTAAAAACAAAACAAAACAAAACAAACACACACCTTAGGAAACTACACAAAATAATCTTCTAAAAAAAAAGTTAAGGTTGCAAAGTTAAAGCACAAACTGTTTAGAAGTGATAGAATCAAGGCTACTTACATACCCTTTTTTTTAAAAGTAGTAAAGCTATTTATGGGCTAGATGCTGAAAAAAAAATTCTCACTCCTACCTATAAGCATTTATAGAAAAGGCAACATAAGTACTTGTGTGAATAATAGCTATTTCCCTTTGAAAGTGTTTTCTGATACTTCCATGCACAGATTGGGTAATATTCTGGGAATCAGCGAGGGCTATGTAGTGAATGAAGGAACCTTGCTTCATTTACTACAAAAGTTGGAAGTTATTTACTGAATGAGACTGCACAAAGATGGTCTTATGATGAAATATATGAATCCTACCCTGGATAGAGTCTATGCTTACTTCTGCTAAGAGGTCTCCATGCCATAATAGGTTGGCCACTAATGGTTCATTCCTCATTTTCTGGGAGCCTGACTGCATTTTGATTTACAGAAGTACTGAGCATTCACACCTGCAACTGAAGTCAACAGAACTCATTTTGAACCTATTAATTACATACCAGGTTCTGTGTGTTCACAAATGGAGTATTCAAAAATAAAAGAAACCTTTGACCTAAGTATGCTTCAGAGAACCCTCAACTGTGAAATGAAGCTAATATCCACATTTCCTAGGGGTGTTATGAAAATAAATTCACCAGTACTTGTAAAATACTCAGATACTAGAGTGTGGAGTGTGACGAAATAAATAATTCCATCTTCAGAGCTAGGGTTCAG